ATATATATATATTTTAAATATAATATATATAAATATTATTTATGTCGTGTTTATTTTAACAACTTAAAAAAAAATCCAGAAATTCAGTTACAGTTGAAACAACAATGGAGCTACTTTGTTTTGGAGCAAAATGTGAACAAAATGCTTGCTCCATCCAAAGATATAGCAGGATAAATTAGCTTTCCCTAACTTTATGCAATCCAATTTTTTGTTGTTGTGGTGTAATACTATGCTGAGCTTCCTCTCATTTCTATCTATCTGACTACAGAAACATGTTTCTGGCTATGGGTATGGGTATAGTGATGGGTTGAATGTTTTTAGACTTCCATTTTGTGCTTTCCCCTAACTCCTAAATCCAAACAACACCTCTACACAACATCTGGCATGGAAATCTCAAAGGTGAGCATGAGACTGCAGTGATTTACATATGACTATATAATAGATATTTTGCAAAATACAAAACAGAAGGAGAAGGCCAGTGTTTTTCAACCTTGGCCACTTTCAAATGCATGGACTTCAACTCCCAGAATTCCCCAGCCAGCCTAGTTAACTGCTGAACTCTGGGTGGTGGTGGTGGTGGATAGAATATAATAAATAGAATAGAATACCTTTATTGTCATTGCATTCTACAAATACAATGAAATTTGAAAGCTACTACAGCACAGTGCCCCAAACACCACATCACAATGACACTACAGAGTATTTATAAATTAAAATAATTAAAACAACAACAAACAGCAACAGCAACAACAATAATAATAACAACAACCTAGTCTAAAACCTATCTAAAACATATAGTAAGTTAGATAGTTTAAAAATGCCACTATATACATAAGGCTAAATCACATATGCATTGTTTGATTCAAGAAGTCCATGCTTCTTAAAGTGGCCAAGGTTGAGAAACACTAGATAACACCATTTAATCATGAACTGAAGATGAGTGAGGGACAGCAATGTGTGAACAGGGAATAGCGATAGCGATAACATTTAGAATTAGATATTGCTTCACGGTGCTTTACAGCCCGTTCCAGAAGATTAACAGAATCAGCATATCGCCCCAACAATCTGGGTCCTCATTTTACTGACCTTGGAAGGTGAATCAACCTTGAGCCAGTCAGAATCGTGCTCCTGGCAGTGGGCAGAGTTAGCCTGCAATACTGCATTCTAAATACTGTGCCACCATGGCTAGGCACATGGAACACTGCTCTGAACATGGCTCTAAAACATGAAGTTGCTAGACAAGACAGCTCAAGTGCCACAGAAAATTGCAGGCAAGGAAAGCCAAATGAGAACGACAACTGTTGCAATTGTAACACATCTGGGAAAAGGCTGGTTTGGGACAGATCAAGTCTGGAATCCAATTGAAAGACCACAAAGCTACTGCAAGGCAATCACATTTTGCTTTAATATCCTATTTTAGGAATCTACTTCCTCGGAATAGTCTTTGATTTCTTGCAGTTTTGATGCAGTAGGGCCATCTTAACTGAGTTGGAGTTCCAGCAGAAATCCCAAACATCTGGATTATGGGGGTGCTGGGCCCTTGAGGCCTGATCCCAGGTTCTTACCAGCCATTAGAGCCACCTGCTTTTCATCTGCCGTTGTTTTCCATCCACCGATCTGGCCCAGCCTTTGAACAAAATTGTTCCCAGCAGAGGCCTAAAGACTGCTCGGATGCTGCTGCAAGCATCACAAAGCCTGTTGCTCTAACCCTTTTCTGTCAGGAAGGAGGAACAACCAAGGTTTAACCAATGCCGCATGTGAAGCAAGCTTTGAAGAGGAATAAGGGCAAGCGCAAGACATGGGGCCAAGGCCACATCAGGGGGTAGAATAGACTGTTGCACCGCAGCTAAACCCTGGGCTGGTTTGCCAAGGTGGCTTTGACGAGGGTTTTCTTGTAGCTTACTTGCTAACCCATGGTTGAACGTACACAGCTGAGCAGGAGTTCAAAGCAGAGTTCACACATGCTAAGCCAGGCCGCCTTAAGGTGGCAAGCATGCCCAATACTCTTTCCTCCTCGTATTTTCCCCACAACAACAATTCTGTGAAGTGGGTTGGGCTGAGAGAGAGTGACTGGCCTAAAGTTCCCCAGCTGTCTTTCGTGCCTAAGGCAGAACTAGAACTCACCATCACTGGTGATTGGCACAAAGTCCCCCCAGCCGGCTTCATGCCTAAGGCGGGACTAGAACTTAGTCTCCTGGTGATTGGCCCAGTCACTCAGCTGTCTTTCGTGCCTAAGGCAGGACTAGAACTCACTGTCTCCTGGTTTCTAGGCCAGCACGTTAAAAGACTACACCAAACTGCAAACATTGTTATCATATTTGAATAGATTTATATAAGATGCTATATCAGAACCTCTTGGTACACTGTAGGAAGGAATTCAGTTTCTGCTTTATAAATTCTGGTTTATGGTTTTGTTGCATGAACCCAATCTTTTGGTTTAGTAATACATGGTCAACAAGTTATGATTTAATGTAATCTAGCAACCTTTGAAGGAATTGATAGCCACTGTTTTGAACCACTACCTAGATTCATATAATAAATTGACTCGCAATACAGTAAAGCCTCTGGTCGTGAACACTTCTGACCATGACCAAATTGGGTTCCGACCACAAAATTCACAATCCCACCCCCCCCAGCTGATTTCCCCTTCCAGGCCAATTTTTTTGTCAGTGCCAAATTTCTAAAATTAGGTTCGGGTCACGACCAAATCAGGTTACGGCCAAAGTTATGAAACCAATTGTGTTTGTGACCAGAGGTTTTGCTGTAGCTGAAATAGTTAAGCATATAATGAGAACCCCAAGGCAGCATAGATGTCTGGTACAAGCTACGATGAAGTCAAAGGTGTGATGACATTGTGTGATGACATCGTGATACATATCCTCTTCCCCATGCATGGTATTTAATCACCTAGGGTAATCTCCTACTAAACAGGCTAAATATTCAACATTTAAAGCAGGGTCTATGGAGATTCTCAGTCATCCAGGTCATAGTTGTCCCAAAGTTGGTTTTTTTTTTTCAAGAGGCAATTGGACTTTCTGGTGCTACCAGAACTGGACTACCAGAAAGTCCAGTTGCCTTTTGTGAACAAAAAAACACCTTTGGGACGATTTAGAGCAGGGGAGTCTAACCTTGGCAACTTTAAATCTGGTGGACTTCAACTCCCACCCCAGCCAGCCATGCTTGGATCTCCTTGCATTCTGCACCACGGTACAATTCATACCTGGGATTAGCTTCAACAGTTCGTTTATTTTATTTATTTATTTATTTATTTGGTTTGTCAATTGCTTACAAGATAATAGGTATAAGTAAAAACATAGTTTTGAATACATGGATACATATAAGAAAAATAAAAAAATAAAAGAAACAATAGGACAGGGATGGTAGGCATGTTGGTGCGCTTATGCACGCCCCCTACAGACCTCTTAGGAAAGGGGTGAGGTCAATAGTAGACAGTCTAAGGTTAAAGTTTTTGGGGTTTGGGGAAGAAACCACAGAGTCAGGTAGAGTATTCCAGGCATTGACCACTCTGTGGCTGAAGTCATATTTCCTGCAATCAAGCTTGGTGCGATTAACCTTGAGTTTGTATCTGTTGTTTGCTCTTGTATTGTTACGGTTGAAGCTGAAGTATTCATTGACAGGTAAGTCATTGCAATGTATTATTTTATATACTATACTTAGATAGGACCGAAGATGGCGTAATTCAAGGTTTTCTAGATCTAGAATTTCAAGTCTGGTGGCATAAGGTATTCTGCAACGAGTAGAGGAGTGGAGAACTCTTCTTGTGAAATATTTCTGGACTTTCTCAACCGTGTTACTATCAGATACGTAATGCGGGTTCCAGACTGATGAGCTGTATTCAAGTATTGGTCTAGCAAATGTTTTGTATGCTCTAGTTATTAGTGTAATATTACCAGAGAAAAAGCTACGTAGGATTAGGTTAACAACTCTTAACACTTTTTTGGCTATGTAGTTACAGTGGGCTCTAGCACTTAGATCATTAGAGATGAGTACTCCAAGGTCCTTGACAGAGTTTGGATCATCAACAAGGTCTTGACTATTCAGCTTGTATTTTATTTTCTGATCTTGACTATTCAGCCTGTATTTTATTTTCTGATTTTTTTTTTTTTTGCCAATACGTAAGACAGAGCATTTATTTGTTGAGATTTGAAGTTGCCATTTGTTTGACCATTCTGATACATAGTCGAGGTCTTTTTGGAGGGTAGCAGTATTGTCTGTGGTGTTGAATAGTTTTACATCATCAGCGAAGAGAACGCAGTTGCCCTTGATATGATCACAGAGGTCATTTATGTAGAGTATGAAGAGAGTTGGTCCTAGAACTCTGCCTTGAGGGAACACACCACTGTTGACAGGTACAGAATTTGATAGGACGCTTCCAATTTTGACCATTTGTTGTCTGTTTGACAGGAATGCTTCTATCCAGTTATGTTCAATCAACTTTGGGGCTTGGCTGAAGGGGGTCTGATGAAAACCTTAATGGACACCACCAAGCTTGACAAAGCAGGGAGCCACCGCTGTCCTGCAGGTCCACTAGTGTTCAGAAAGGGTGGGGAGTCCACGGACTGACCAGGCCGAGTCCTCCTCCAGATGTTACTCATCATCATCCCCCCCACCCTTCCCACCACAGACGTCACCAAGCACCCAGTCCTCCTCCTGGCGTCTTGCCCCACCCTCCCGCAATTGGTCAGGTGAAGGTGCCAGCCACCCCAAGAAGGACTTGGGAATGCGTGCGTGGAAAGGAGGAGCCGTCGGCACGCATCGGTTTCCCGGAGTCACCTGGTCTCTCTCCTCGCCTTCCTTCCCCCTCTCTGCAATCGCCGCCACCGTCACCCCCCTACCACCACCCCACCCCCGGTCTGGGCACCTCCAGGAAACGGGCGGGGCTTCCTTCCTTCCTTGCCACCTTCCCGAGCCCTGCCCTCCCGCGTCTCTCACCCCCCCCCCGCCCTCCGCAGAAGCGACGGTCGGCTGCCCAAATCCGGCCGCCCCTCCCCGCTTCATTCCTGCCAGGCTCCAGCGGTGAGTGCCAAGGGCTTCCGGGGAGAGGACGAAGAGGGGGGGGGGGCGCAAGCGACCGTTTGAAAGGGGGCGTAGAATAAACCCTTTTCGCGGGACCCCCGACCCAGAGGGGATCCCGCTTTCTACCTTCCTTCCTTCCTTCCTTGGCGCCAAGGGCCTTGCAGTTTGCCTGCACGGCCCGTTGGCGCTGCACCTGGCATCCCCCACCTTCTTCCCCCCTTCCCCCCCCCCCGCCCAAATCACGTGCCCTAAAACGGCCACAGGTCCAGCCTTCTCCCACCTGCCCGACCGGGAAGGCTTCAGGACAGCGTCGTCATTCTCGGCCGGGAAAGGAGAGAAATATTTTCCAGAGCTTGCTTGGAAAAATGCCAGCGGGAAGGGGGAGCCCGTAGGTGGTAGCAATGCTGAGTCAAGATTCTGCACCCCCCCTTGTTCCATCATGGCATCTTGGAGGATTGTAGGGGAATCAGCTCGGGATTTTTGTTCTGCTTTGGGTGGAGTTTTTTTTTGGGGGGGGGGGATCAAGGAGAAAACCTTCCCTTTCTGCCAGGTTATTCTATTCCAGCTGTCTGGCCCAGATCTGCCCTCGTTTGACCTACAGCTCAACAACGCAACCTGCAGCCCCAAGAGTGACAAGAGCCCCTATAAGCTGTGCTTGTGGGCCTTCTGATGTTCGTGTATACAACATGCAAAAGTGTTCGAGGCCTAACAATGGCTTTTGCGTAACTTGTGAAGCCCGTTCAAGTTAATTTGGGTGAGGAGAAGGGGGTTGGCTTGGCCTCTTTCGCAAACCATTTGTTTGGTCAGTTTATCACTTGTGGTAACAAGATTAACCTGTAGTGCCAAGATAACCATTATGGGAGGAAAAGGGAGATAGAATGATTAAATAGATGGGTGGATGCCCCATCAAAGTTTGCTGGTTTTCTTGCAGATGTTTCATTACCCAAACTAGGTAACATCATAAGTGCTAGTGATTAGCACTGATAATGTTACCTATTTGGATAAGGAAGCACCTGTAAGAAAACAACCAAGCTCAGAGAGTGACCAAGGACCCCTCATTTCAACCTTGAGCCCCAAATATTTTCATTTACTAGGTGCTCAAACACTGAAGCCATTTGTCCGGAATGGTATAGGGACTTCTGCTTCAGCATGGGATTGGACGAGAAGACCTCAAAGTTTTCTTCAAACCTTATTGTTCTATGTTCTGCATTCATTTTGATGACTATGTTATTCATTTGTTTTAGTAAAACTTGAATTAGATCAGCTAAAGTACTTATCCAGGTCCCACGTAGAGTGACAGGGTCCTCTCATCCCAACGTGCATTCAGAGGACTATTGTGGCTTTAAGCTAGGAAAAGGCTACACGACATAGTCATGTAGTCATAGAAAGATGGACAATTCAGTTTGTGAATTACTTGTGGGTTAGCATGAAATTTATCGTCTCCTCCCCGTCTCCCCAGTAAAAGAAGCACTAGGATTGGCCTCTCACAACTCAGCAATAGGATTGGCCTCACACAACTCACGGGACCACAATCTGGTTACTTTGTGGGTCAGTACTGTATGCTGCGTGAATTCAACTTGGCTGGTCAATTTTTATTTCAGTGTTGCATGAACCTGCACCATTGAGTTAATGAAATAATTCAGGATTACGATAACAAGAAGCTCATTATAGGAGCAAAGGAAACTTTCCTTAAGTCCTAGAAAACCAGACCATATTCAGAAGAAGCTTAGTCAGCACTAATCACAAAGCTACTGATCACAGGGGTTTTTTTATTTTATTAGATGACCCTTTTAGACAGGTCTACATGTTGAGATTGGCCTGGGATCCAAACCATGAGTTTCAGGATGACCACCTAGGAGTGTTGGAATTTTTCTGCTTATTGGTCATGTCTTTACATCTACATTTCTTTCTCTGCTGGTTTCTTTTTCCCAGTTGGGTGGGGGCATTGATGTTTGCCATGTGCCAGCCGGAATTCCGCCTCCACCCACAGCTCGGTGAAGCCCAGGGAAATTCACAGCAGGATGTGATCTACCGTAACAAAAAGGACTCCCACCCAGACAAGAACCTCAACTTCATGAATGAGAAGTCCTACGATAGCAATGAAAACTGGAGCCAACCGATATCAAAGGCGCCAATACCAGAGGAATGGGAACAGTGGAATGACAACGGGATAAAGAAGATATCTGAGAATCTGACTGATCTAATACAGAAAGCAAAGAATTGCTCCAGAAGCATTTCTCAAAAATTGTCTGAGGACAATTTCCTGGGCTTAGGGCAGAAGAAAAGAGAAGAGGAGGACATCCGTAGACCACCTGAAGGTTCTGAGTTCCGGAGTCCAGAACAAGAGACCAAGTACCAGGTGAAGGTAAAGAAAAAAGGAAGTCTGGTCAGCTCCCCTCTAGAAGACAAGGGTTATTCCAGCAGTCGTTGGACTGATAGCCCTGAGAGTGATGGCACCAATGTTTGGAAGATACCTTCTGTCACTGATGAAGACTGGACACGCAACGCTAAGCAGCAAGCTTCCTGTGGTGATTTTGAGAGCTCTTCCTCTAGTTCTGAGACCTTCTCCCCAGCACTGGCAGAGGCCTTCAGGAACGTGCAGGAGAAGAAGAAGCTCAAAGAGTTAGAGAAACAGAAATATCAGACCCACTTAGTGATGTACCGCCGCCTGGCTTTGCTCCGCTGGATTCGCAGCCTCCAGGAGAAGGTTGCTGACCAGCAAAATCGATTGCAGGAGAGCTTTGACATTATCCTGGACAACCGCAAAGAACTTATTCGACAAGGTGTGGGGCACACTAAAACCGCAACATAGAGAGAATTGTATAAAACAGCCCCCACCTTCCATCTTTTCATTTCTTAGCTTGGCCTCCCAAATAAGGGTCCTCAGGATCATGGCTTGTTTGCAATGTGCCCCGGTGGACTTTTCTCATGTTTGATGTTCCTCCTAGGACAGCAATTTAATCATAGACATTCCAGACATATTATGTATGTGGACACATACTTTTTTTTTCAAGATATTTTCCAAGATGCATCACTTCTGGGGGTGAATGTATTGTAAATACAACTTACAGTGAAATGAAATAAGAGATGCATATGGTATTACGATGAGTAGGACCTATGGTCATGGAGAAAAAATGAAAAATCGTGGACATATAGGCTTATAAAACACTTGCTAAGCAATCTGAGATGGAAAAAAGCTTGAATTGGGAACTTTGCAAGTCAGTTGAGTCTTGTACTACTAATTGGATAGAATGTTGGATGCTTCAAGCCATGATACAACTTGCATGGCATGACATCCTTATGATACAGAAGAGGTAGTTCTGTGCCACTATTTGATAACCACCCCAAACGGCCAAATTTCTGTTCCTCCTAGCCATTTCCATACTCTTTGTCTTATTTATCACCTTTGTTAGTTCTTAACTAGACTCCATCCTTCTTGCCAGGAAGAATGGGTTTTGAGTTGGTTTGCTATCCAAGCTTTTTATCCTAGCTCACTTCCTACTTCCAGGTGCTCACAACCTTTTCAGCCCTTAAAGTTCAAACCGATCAGTATGCAAAACAAGAATCTTGAAACCAAAGATCTGGAAGGCTTTAGAATAGGCAGGATTCTTCTCCCCAGCCTTATATTTATTTAATCTGCATCTAATTCTTTCCTTGGCCCTTATCGACTTACCAAAATGGGATAATGCTGAATCTGAAGCCAGTCTTAAGCTCCTTGAAAGCATTCGGGAACACGGGGCAGGAAATGAACCAATCAACATGTGTCACGAATGTGACCAACCCACAATTCAAATTGTGTCTCCTGATCTTCGGCTGATCCTTGGTATATGTTGAACCACTTTACAAGGTTGGATGTCAACATACAAATCTGTGCCTGGGTTGACTGAAGAAAGAGGACCTTGTTTCCTATGTTTTAGACAATGACCTCTTTAAATTAAAATCAGAAGCATTTTTCTCTGTACTTCCAAATAAACCAAATCTTTCCAAGAGTGTGATCTCCTTGGAGACCAAATAAGATTTTACACATAACTGCATGCGCATTTCTTTAAATTTAAAAGAAAAACAAAAGCAATATGGAATACTGTAACTTTCAAAGTAGCACAGTTGTACTGGCTAAAATGGAAGTGTAGTAGCCTCTTGAAGCCCAAGCCTCTTGAAGCCCAAACCCTTGAATTTTATTTCTATAAGAATAATTCCTGTCTTCCACTCCCAGAAAAATTACAGAAATTGCTCACACAGTACACTTGAAGAGATACCTAGTGATGTGGGTAGCTTTGCAGTAACACAGCTATAAACTACTGTTTTCTAGTCTACAGTGTTTGGTGAATGCAAACTGTGAGTAACTTGCTATCAAAACTGGGTCCTCTCTTAAGATGAGTTAGAAAGTTTCCAAGAGTGTTTGACATTTTCCAACATTTCTAAATTAGGGAGTATCAGATGAAAATATTTGCTTGGCCAGTTCAGTTGACCAAATCTGATTTGCTATTTCTTTGATGTGATAGAATGTCAAATTTATGTCCAAGTTAATATAAAACAACATCCCCTACTTCTTCGGTGTAATCTGTTGACCTTAGTTGGTTCTGGTTACTTTCAAGATAACAGGCTATTTCACCCAGCATCTTTTGGGTGGAAGTGAAATTCATTATTTTAAATATTTTACATAATGTTTATTTTAATCTTCCTTTCCTGTGGATGATTCTATCAATAATAGAAGTACAGATATATGGGTGTACATTTCCAGTAATGGATATCATGTTGCGGAAATCCTTCTCAAACTGACAAAAAACCCCAACCTTTAACAGTAGAGAAACTTGTCTGTTGCTTTTCTATATTTTTTTAACAGAAAAAATTTATTACAAAGTATAATATATGCTAGGATAATGATGTAAACTAACTTTACTGATTGTAGCATTTGGATAATTATTGCCATCGCTAGTACAAATCAGGAGTAATGTGCATGCTCTTTGAAAGAAGATAAAAATGTCTGTATTTGGAGACATACTTTGAATCTTGATTATTAAGCTGGTACCTAAGGCATTTTGGGGGGAAAAGAAATAAGATTATAGAGTGAGAATGTAGGGAACAATGTGTTGGATGTGAAATTTCCATCGATTTTGTTTGTATTGTGTCTAAGCCGATGCTATTCAGGTAGTCCTCAATGACTAATTGAGCTCACAATAAAGTGGGTCACCATCTGAGCATCCCCAATTTTACAACCTTTTGGTGGTGGTCATTAAGCAAACACTGCAGTTGTACATGTTGGGTGGGGGCTTCTGGGAATTGAAGTCCAGAAGTCTTAAAGTTGCCAAGTTTGGAGACTTCTGCCATAAAGGGGCAGATCTTGCCTCTCTTCTACCTGGCAGGTCTGCAGGCCAAAGAGCATGGTAACTATTGGACGATGCTGGCCTGCCACCAAGGAGGATGCTGATAGACTGCCCCTGCCCAGGATGACTTGGCCCCTACCTTTGCCCCAGGAGTTTGGTTAGTTTGTAGGCCAGGTGGTAGGCTAGATTTGGCCTGAAGACCATAGTTTGCTGACCCTAGTTTAGAAGATGGCACTGGTAAAAATGAAGGAAAATTTGCATTAGTGTCAGCATGATTGCTCTAAATTGATTTTATAATTTTTTCCTTTCTGGGGAATCCTGGATCACTCTTGGGGAGTCAGCCACTCTATCAGATTCCTAGCGCTTTGCCCAGATACAATTCCCAGGATTTAATCCCAGATGCCAGGACCTTTAAATGGTAAAAGAGTTATTAGATTTATGGATGTTTGTTGCTTTTTATGTGCAATGATCATGCATATCTGTGGCTTATTGTTTTTTTAATTTAAAATAAAAAGTCTCATACTGAACTTTGATGAGTGATGCTGAAGCAGGAAAATATAGCGCTTTTAGCTGGAGAGCGAATCTTTCCCACGTGCCATTACAGAAGCGTATTAAGAATTGCAAAATTTTGCTATTTTAATTGTGTAATGAAAGTACAGTTGTATTGGCCTATATGGCATTGGTTTCTTAGTTTGATCTGACTTGAAGAGCTGACGTACACTCAACAATCAGCCCTAGCTAGGTTCACCAGGCGCTGCTATCTGTCTGAAGACCTTAGCTGTTGATAGGCAGGTGGTAGAGCAGCATTTCTCAAACCTAAGAACATTTAAGACAGGTGAACTGGGTGGGGAATTCTGGGAGTTAAAAGTCCACCTGTCTTAACATTGTGAAATATTGGTAGAGCAACATCCTGTGACTTCCTGCAGGGAGCTGTCCAAGGTCCTAAGGCTTCTGCCAGAACTAGCCTTAGAGCTTATTCATGTCATTCTCTCTGGCCTCAACCAGCCAGGATGCTTTGACTTGAAGCATGCCCGAGGCTAATATTTGGGAAGTGTCATATACTAGTTAAGATGTTGTATTAGGAATGGGAAGTGTCTAAAACTGAGAATGGAAGCTTATTGAGTAGCTTTGGATAATTATTATCTTTCCAATGTTTCTGTGGAAAAAATAATCAGAGAAAAGAATGCTGCATATTACCCCATGAACTTTTTTTTGTAAAGGTGGGGTATCAAGATGATGATGATGATGATGATGATCATCATCATCATCATCATCATCAAAGGACAGAAAATGCCAGGCAATGGTATTATCAGTAGTAAACTAAACACTAGGGACTATTAGGGACAAACTCAGAATCGTGAATCTATAAATAAATTTTCAACCTTTGTTTATTATTGATTTCATGGAGGCAGAATCTTTTGAAATGTTGTTTATTGTTTTTTCCCAGATTTCTTAAGTGTCGTTTATAAAATTAGCTATCAATAAATTTCATTTTTTGGTTGTTTATCTCCATGATATCTCTCGGCCTACCCATCATGTCCAACTTAGAAGTAAGGAGAAATTTTCTGACAGTGAGAGCAATTAATGGAATAGCTTGTCTCCTGTGGTTTTGTGTGCCCCATCGCTGGAGGTTTTCAAGAACAGACTGGACAATCAATTGATTGGGATGATGTACAACCTCTGCCTTGAGCAGGGGGCTGGACTAGAAAAAATCTGAGGTTCCTTCCAGCCCTATGAATCTATGATTTTATGTCTTCTAATATATATGCCTGGGCAATTCCCCCGAATTCTACAAATGAATGGGATACTTGCGCAATAAAGACTTGATGTGAAAACACCACTAATATATGTAACACTGACTCTAAGACTCAAATTAAATTTAGTTATTTAAGATGTGTGGAGTTCAACTCACAGAATTCCCCATCCAGCATTCACACATCTTAAAGCTACCATGTTTAAAAAATACTGCTCTAAACCTTGAATTCACTAAACCTCTCTGTCTCAAAAGCAACCTGCTGTTGAATACCTTGTCTTATCTATCAATGTCTATAAGTAATACAGGATATTTATAATTTAATAGAAACCATTCTTTAAAAAAGAACATGCTCTTTGGGTTCTCCAAAGACAATTCTTGCAGCATGCTTAATTTAAAAGAAAAAAAGAAAGACAACGTTGCCAGAGGATGGAACTATTTTTGAATCCACACAAAGTTTGAAAATAATATAAGGAAATAAATATTTTTCACTCGTGCTACTGTTTTTGTTTTACAGCTTTTATAGCTTTTAATATTTTATATAACCATGATCCAAACAGAGATAGCACTGATTGAAAATATAATATGCAGTTACTGCCAAAGCTTTTAACATTTGGAAAGGATTTTAGGATAGTTCAGAAATAAACCGTCTAAAAGGGCAGCAAAAGAAAAAAGAAGAGAAAAAAGGGGCTTTATTCTCTGCTTTAAATAATGCTATAATGCATTTCCTGTAAATGCTCTTGCACAAATATATATTTCTAAAACATTGCCAAATCGCTGTTTTTGTTTCTAAAGGCAATGTTGATAAAAATGGTTGATATAATGATACCTACCAGGAAGAAAACCTATGCTAATTGAAAATAAATTGACTTTTCCAAAATAACACAGTGCTAAAAAATCTACCTGGCAGTTTCTCAGATGTTTTTTTTCCCTGCCAAAAAATGGCTTTTCATTTTTATCTTCTGCTTGGAGCACCTGAACGTTTCTTTAGAATGTCCCTTCGTGATGCTTTTGAGTTTAATTTATCGGTGGAGGTAGAAAAGGAAGTGCTATCCAAAAATCACTTCCGCGCTGCTATTGGGACAGAATCTGAGCCCAAAGCATTTGGCAAATCCAGTCTCAGAAAGCTATGAGGCTCTCATCACCAATATAGGTAGTCCTTGGCTTACAACCATTCATTTATTGACTATTTAAAGTTACAAGGGCACTGTGAAAAAGTGACTTACGACTGTTTTCATACCTACGGCCATTGCAGCATTTACGTGGTCATATGATCAAACTTCCAATGCTTGGCAACTGACATATATTTATGACAGTTGCAGTGTCCTGGGTTCATGTGGATCCCCTTTTGTGACCTTCTGACAAGCAAAGTCAATGGGGAAGCCAGATTCACTTTAAAAACCCTGTTACTAACTTGACAACTTTAGTGGTTCTCTTAACAAATATGGCAAGAAAAGCCATAAAATGGGGTAAAGCTCACTTAACAAAAGTCTTGCTTAGCAATGGAAATTTGGGCCTCAATTCTGGTTGTAAGTCGAGGATTACCTATATATATGTACCCAATTCCAGTCCTTAAGAGCATGTACTATACTACTTAGTTCAGCTCCAGCCAATCTCCCCCAGTTATTTCTCCATCTTCCTTATCTGGTCTCCGTCTGATTCAGAATCTCTGTCACTCTGGCGAGAGCTCCAGGTGTTGGAAAGAGACAGCCCTTAGATCTTCACCACCTGCGACATATGCCTGGTTTTTTTGCTCCAATACAAATCTGGACTGCCTTAAAATATTGGTGGTGCTGATTTTTTGGGGTCCACTTCTCTGTTAATCTATAAACCTTCAAAGTTTCCCATCCTTACATATTGAAAAAAGCCAGTGGGCAAAATCTACTTTTGTGGTGCCCTTCCTTGACTTGAATGGTTCTGTGGAAAGACAACCCAAGGTGGAGGATTGGACAATATAAAGATAGGACACTCATGCCCAGACCTTGATCACTTGATCACTAAATACCTGTCTTGGCAGGACATCATGATTCACTCAACCCAGTTTTCTGGGTTCTCAGGACACAC